CCCCCTTGCCTTTTGCTAGGGGGGCAGGGGGGGCAGAAGTGCCCTTTTAGTTGTAGAATAATACGTGATAAATCACATTTCCAACGATGCTTTTTGTAGGAAAATCACGAGATTCAGGTAATTTATACTTTATATTTATAAAAATTTTGGAAAATTTTTGGAATTTAGAAAAATATTTTGAAGAAATGGCGAAAATTTAAGATATTCGGAAAAATTTTTGGCTTCACGGAAAGTTTTGGTATGTCCGGAAAAAATTTTTGAGCCCTAAAATGATATACTGACCGAAATTTTTTTGGCGATGGGGGGGGGCCCTAGAGGTGCCCTTGGTGTGCGTCCGCCCCCCTTTGCCCTATTATCGTTCCGGCGTCCCTGTCTGTATCTATAGTTATCTGTACTTTATGTACAAAAATAATATCCCTCCTGGTAGGGAAATTGTTAGCATTTGGCCAGGGAGCATTTGTAATTTACCTAGAGGGGGGGGGGGCAAAGGTGATTTTTGAGACGGGTCACAATTTAGGGAACTATAAAAAATTACCTGAATATTAGGCAGGGAACCTTCAACAAAAACTTTCCCTTAGTTTTCATTTTTGTTGCCATGCAAAGTTGCAAATCTTTCATATTCTAAGGCTTTATGACTGAAGTTGTTATTAATAGATATGAAAGTTCAATGGTCAAGAATATTTGACATTATAATGCATGTCAGAATAGTATTATTCATATTGATAAGAAACCAATACTAATTAAAGGTCAATAGATTTTGGGAAGGGGGAGACAGGGAGTCGACAATTCACCATCTGTTGTTTACAATCATATTGGGGGGGGGGCAATGAATGTGATCAGCAAAAGTGGAGGGGGGGCTCCAGAAAATTTAAACCTAAAAACCGTCATAGCCCTCCCCCTCCTGTAAGTAAATTATAAATGCCCCTAACAGGCACAGTTTATCCCCAGGATAAACCAAAAGGATATCAACATTCACATAGTAGTGGCTATTTAATTGTTCACCTTTCCGCCATACAGTATTTTCTATAGAATTAACCAATTGTATTTTATGATATAATGTTTCTGTTAGATATGTTATGTTTCCATATTAATATTGCCTTGACAATGGGATAGGTACTGTAATATGATTTTTGTCATTACACTTTACCCTGTACCAAAGGGCTTTGTCAATATTTTGTTCTGTCAACCTCATGGGAAGCAGAGGAAAGTGAATAAGTGCAAAGGAGCATAATATAGATATTTACACTTTCCATTAATGGCACCTTTCCAACAACAAAAATATGAACAAAATATATAGAATAAACATTTAACAATTTGAATACTAACTAGTAAATACAGTTCATACAAATATGAGAGTCAACTTCTGTGAAAATATAAACAACCACGCGATATTGACCAAGTTCACATAATTTGAATTTATTCGATTGATTTTACACGAGCGACACTTGTCGAATAGCAGCTGATCCAATCACAGATCCAATTTAATAAATATATACACGGAATATCATATACGTACATTTTGCATAAGAATTCCTTTAAAAAATTCGACAATATATTTGGGTAAAAATACCAAGTCCAAAATCACGAACAAATATACACCAAACTGTTCAGTGTTGACTCCTTAAGGCCTGATTCCACGGGCGCTTTTTCTCGGCGAAATGCGAAATATTTCGCCTGTTTCTTTTGAATTGCGACCACTCGGATAAATTATTTCTACTTGATTGCCCACAATTCAAAAGAAACAGGCGAAATATTTCGCATTTCGCCGAGAAAAAGCGCCCGTGGAATCAGGCCTTTAGAACTTGCATATCACACTTTCCCAACATTACATAAGGCAATAGCACCTGTAATTTTCCATCAAAATGCTTCTTTAATACAATTTTTACTGTAAAATACTCACAAATTTATATTAAAAATTTAACAAAACTAGAGCCCACTCCCAACGCGAAGGACAAATCAGGACAGTTTGCGAATTTTGCTAGGCCTTCTCGCTTCTCGCCTCTCCCCAGTCTCCGAATAAATACAGCTTTATCCCGGTCAACCTGCAAACCTTGTCGATTTCCCCCTAAAATAATGAGGCGGAAGCGAGAAGGCCAGGAACTAGGCTGAGTCCAACTGTCTACGGAAAACAATTTGCAATGTCGACGTCTTAATGAAATCGCTCATGCACCCGAGTAATCACGATATATAACGAAATTATTTGAGAAATACATCTTCCGACCGATAAATACTTTGTATATCGTTATCGTTGTGTAGTTTCACCCAGCCTATATTTCAAATAAATCTATTTGCAGGAAAGATATTCGTAATCAGATAGGTTGTAAGTAGAAGTTAAATTATAACTAATTGCAGTTGGCAGAAAATAATAACGGCTTATTGACCAAGCGCGCGTGAGGTCTGAACTGTGAAATATCAGACCGAGGTTTTTTACCGAGCGACGAAGGAGCGAGGTCCATGCAAAAAAACAGAGGTCTGATATTTCACAGTACAGACCGAACAAGCGAGGTCAATAATCGGTTTATTATATGGCTGAACTGAGTCTATGAGCATATGCTTTTCGCGCGAATTAAATCGGCTATCGTCAGTTTCACTGGGTAACAATATACGGTAGGCATGCATGCTCAATCAAAAACAATTTGGTTGTTTGAAACTTTTATCTGTAAATTTTAATGACACACAATTGGAAAATTAAAAAGCAAAACTTTTTTCTGTTGGCAAAGCAAAAATGACCAAAAAACACCGGTCCAGATACGGAAAGTACCAATCACGGTCCGGATATGGGTTTTTACGGACCGCTTGTCAACCAATCAGAATAGAGAATTTTCAAAAGCCATATAATAATAAATTATATACTCTACTGACTGCGATAAATTTCATTTCAAGTTACCCAATCAATAAGAATACGTGAGGCATAATACAATACGAAATGCTAATGCAGAAAAAGTAAATATGTAATTCAAAATGTCAGAGTTTCTTACTTAAAGAATAATCTAAAACGGCTTATGGCCAAGATCATACAGCACACCGAAAACTACATACAAATGGTTTTTGATTACCATATGAAATTCTAATTTCAAAAAAGGTGAAAATGTGCAACTAAAGATAATACGATTGTTAAATGTGTATTTATTTAATCAATTAGTTGAAATAAGTTGGTCCTGCGTTAGGACCAATATTAGGATCACCACCATCTTCAATTGGTGTCTGAACAACGCGCATGCCATACACAATCAGAGATTTCATCAAACCAAACGCGTCATCAAACCTGTATGGAAAATAGAGGCGAACATTTTAAAATTCAAAAACAGAACTATACTGTCGTTTGTTAGCATTACCTCGACATTAAGGTTACATCATCTGATAGATTCCTGTTTCAGAAAAATTGTCACTGTGTGCTCAATTCTTTAGTTACGTTAATTGGTAGATGCAAGGATAACTAACTGTAGAAGCTACTGTTTTAACCAAAATTCACCACCTTTTAAGGCCAATTAAAAATAATTTTCAGTTTTTCATCGCCGCCCGCCCCTGAAAAATTGGCCGCCCGGAATAATTTTTTTATTATTATTAAATCGGAATTGGTCGGAAGTAGTCGGAAACCGAACATTGGCGGCCATATTGTTTCAACATGCCTTTCGTTGTCGTTCAAATACGAGCTGGAACACAAGTTTTGAAGCCCTGGATAGGCGTACGAGTTCCAGACAATTCTTCTTTAAATGATGTTTATAATGATCTGGTTGCAGGGATCCTTGATCAAGGTTTGTATGTAAATGTTCTTGCGTAGACAAAATGTGTGAAATGGAAGACAACCTTTTAATCCGTTTTTTAATAAAAGGGGAAATATACTACTTACGCTATTAAAAAATAAATAATAAAAAAATTAAAATCCGCCCGCCCGCCCCCCGTTTTTCAAAAAATCTGATGAAAAACTGAAAATTATTTTTAATTGGCCTAACCTGTAGTCTAGACTGCGAGCAATCCCATCTTAGTCCGGGAAACAATAAAACGAAGGAAAATAGAGGGATTGCTCGCAGTCTACCTGTAGTCGCAATGAGACATCTTTTGAAAAATAGCACCTCTTGCGCCACGAGATTTAACGACAGACCGTTTAACTCAGGAGCTCCCATAATATCATATTTCTTATCTCAAATGTCCAACGAAGAAAAGTGTGTTCGCATTTTTTGACAGCTATTGTATTCGCTTTGATATAAAGCAGACAACTTGAATTATCTTGCGCGGGTATAAGCGGTTGAAGAGATGCTTCTAAATTGAAAAATAATGCACTCCTTTATTATTGATTAACATTGTGGTCAAGTTGGGACCAATCGGATAAAACGCTCTGTCGTTAAACTTTTTTTTTGTCGAGGAGATTTGGTAATTTTGCTTACACTTCAAACGACGATTAAAGATTTGACGAGTTTCCACTCTTTCGTCACTTTCTCCGCCCCCAGTGTTAATTCACTTCTGACCTTGTGCGGTTAACCAATCACAAACACCCAACTTTAATATTTTTGGCAAGGTGTTTGTCACATTTATCTTTATAGAATTCGAGTCTATAGACTACAAAACGCAAACGCAGCAGAAAAGTCACCGAAGCCGACATCGCACATAGCTTGAACTTCGAGAGGTTCTGTAAATACTATATTATAAGCTTTCTATATGTTGTCGCAATAATATATGCCTCTGAGCAATAACAAACGGCTTATACTTTAGTGAATTTCACACCTTGATATTTGACGCCAGCAAAGTTCAATCATAATCACAAGTTTCGCGCGGAGCTATTCGGTGGTCATAGCATTTCCCCATATATCTCGGGCGCTTTTTAACATTTTCTTAAAAAAGTTGCTGGAATTGAGAGATATAACATTACTTAAAATGAATATATAAAAAACTTTTTTTTTTGACAAAATCAGAGTTTCATCATATAATGTAACCTTAAGAAGGTAGATTGTCATATTGTAATAATACAAAATACCAAACCGTGCTTTTATAATTAACATCAAGTAAGATGTTCTTTATATGAAACATTTTACCACAACTTGTAATTCTTAAAATGAGCACGTTATATTCCGTATTTTAAAGTAGTGTGACATGTAACCCTCAGTAAATTACATACTTACCTACTTATTTATTGACACTTTTTTATCTACTCATTTATCTAATTATCAGCCATAGAATTATAGCCAATATGATGGACATGGATTTTTAATTTTCCATATATGTTATGGAAGAAACAATATATTTAAATTTATTTTAGAACTAAAACATGTTATACTGATCATGTTTTAGTGCTACCAATCTGGCCAGTGATGCCGGAACGATAAAAAGGCAAAGGGGGGCAGACGCACACCAAAGGGCACCCCTATAGATCAAAAGTTCGAAATTTACCTGAAAATTTTTTTACATGAAATCTTTTTTGGGCGACGAAAAAATTTCGGTCAGTGTACCATTTTAGGGGTCAAAAATTTTTTCCGGACATACCAAAATTTTTCGTTACGTAAAAAAATTTTTCCGGACATCAGCAATTTTCTTCATTTATCCAAAATTATTTTCTAAAGTAACCTCATTCACACTTATTTTTGTAAATTAACTTTCTCTGGGCCTACAAATTACCTGAGTCTCATGATTTTGCCGGAAAAAGCATCACTGGATTTGTGATTTATAAGGTTGTATTTTACAACTAAAAGGGCACTTCTGCCCCCTTTGCCCCCCCCCCCTAGCAAAAGGCAAGCCCTCCTGCCCCCCCCCAGTTCCGACGTCCCTGAATCTGACTTTTATTTAGTTATTATTTCAATCTTACGAAAAAATAGTTATAGAAGATGTTCAGATATTGGATTTAGTTATAAATTAAGGAAGGTAACTTATTTAATTCACTTATTGACTTGCTTACTTTCCTATACATAAGAATTTCCGTTTTTACCTGTCAACATTCCCATCGAATACACTTTGTAATGTCTCCAATAACTTCCTGTACACGTCATTGAAAGCTTGTGCATTCTTATAAGCCTGACTATCAGGCTTGTACTTTGACATTTGTGGGTCATTCACCACTGGCCAGACCCCAGTTTCGAAGAAGGAAATTTTGTCACCTAGGTAGACATAGTTCTCATGGATTTCCTGGGAGAAAATGAAGCAAATGTTTTAATATAACATAACCCTGTATTGTCATACTAAGCGGTAGTACCGTACGCAGGATTTTATGACGGGAGGGTAGTGAGAGCCATATGCTGAAGTAAAGCATATTGATTACGGAAGAATCATGGTACACAATCACTTTTGAAACGATGTTTATAATTTTGCGTTGAAGAAATGTTAAGCGAATTTGCCATTGTGTACGAAAAAAGTGATAATAATAAATTAATAGTGCTACTACTGTATAATGCCTATACAACATGATGTCAATTTGACACGAGTCAGCGTTCAGTCTACTGTTGGCTAATTTCGAAAATTTATGTTGAAATTCTATGTTAAAAAAGGGAAGGGATTTTACTTTCTGCTGTGCAAAATTTGTGGTAAAAAAAGTTTAGGGACATTAATTTCGATTGGAATTTTTAGTCATGAGTAATTTGAACTTAAAATTTCGCCATACAGTACTGCTCAGAAACAGTAACCTAACACTGCGTTCGCGTTCCGAACGCGGTTGGAACGCGTTCCAGAGGAAACTTGGAAACGCGTTCCCCACTTTGGCTAAAAACCGCGTTCTCGCATCGGAAAATCCCGACACCGAATGTAACATGAGCTACTGTAGATTTTGACAGTTGACAACTATGAACAATTAATATCAAGCTTCATTCCGCGGGGCTAAAATACCAGCCCTGTTTGACCCAGACTGAAACTCGACACAGCACACAGTCCGGGCAGCATGTAATCACAAATAATTTAAAACAATCGCCTTAATGAATGCCTTTGTTTAGCGTGTTTGTTTCAACTGTATATGTATAACCATAAACACACAAATCAAATAGCCGAAAATGCTTCAGATCGCGATCGTGTCTTTCAACCCGAGCTAGAAAGGTCTGTGTTGTGCACAGGCTACATTTCAGTAATATAATTAACAACATGGGATGAAAATAGTTCCGACTAAAACTTAGCCGGCTCAAACTGCTCACGGGCAATCAAATAGATCGCTATCAAACGTGCTGAAGCAAGCGTATCATGTAGCATACTTGCTACAGTTTATTTTAAATTGTCGCTGCTTGTGTAATTCTTTTACGCATAACTAAGTCATTACACATGATTATAAAGTATAAACATTTACAATTAATCAAAATACTAGTGATTGTGACATTTTTGGCTGCCCAACATCTCGGGTCGATTCTATAATAAGTGCATGGTTGCAATATACATTTATTAACAATCGTACCAACTTATATGATGATGTTTCCTTACTGTGGCACGCGAATACACGCATATCAGCAATAAACATCGCTTGCGTACTATTGTTGCATGTATTTCTAGTCTACACGACCTCCTTACCTTGTGCTTTTTCCGGTGTTAGTTTATCCATTCAAAACTCCTCCTGTGATCACACAAACTTTGATAGTGTATGTACCGGGTTTAGTCTGATGATGATTTTATAGAGTCCAAACACTGTGATATTTTGGCTACCTCTTTAATTTCGGAAATGAAATTCAATAGCCTATTCAACACACGCGTGAGTAAATAACTTTTGACAATAATTTCCATAATTTTAGAAAATACTGTTAAATTCATTAAAATTCCTTCAAAACTGTTTTTATTTATTTTGATGCCCTTTAGAGTTTTGTGAAAAGTGCGAGCATTTTCTACATGGTCGTCAGAAACCTGATGGCGAATTGAGGAAATTAGCTAGATTGTGTTTTGTTTTGTCCCGAAGTATTGACCGCGGACATACATGCATGCGATGTGTCAATCATAGGTTATTTTCATTCGCAACTCGTTAGTGGAATTAAGCAAATAGAAAAACGCGGTTTCATGCTTTATAATGTGAACACTTAATGTGCAAGTGAAGCTGACTGATACTCGGAAAATCGCGATGATTTCCGACGATGTCCAGTTTCGATACGAGTGTAACCGGAACGCATTCCGCAGATGCGTTCCGGTAACATTGGAACGCAAATGGAACGCAATTGGAATGCGAATGGAACGCGAATGCAACGCGAATGGAACGCAAATGGAACGTATTTAGGAACGCGTTCCGGACGCGTTCCGAACGCGTTTTCTGTTAGGTTATTTCTGAGCAGTACTGTACGTTTTGTTACGGAAAATTTATAATAAAGCTGATCTTGGAAATCGATTGATTGTGAACTTTATTTACCCACGGTAGACTTATTAGGATTTTACATAAAAGATGATAAGAGATTACAATATAGTTACAGATTACAGAATATAAAAGTTAATTAAGATACTAATTATGTATACATACTATACTAATACTAATTATATATTACAAGAATACCTGTTTTCCATAAGTGCCGTGCTAATATATTAATATAAAAATCTAAAATTATTGACTAATGTATAAAGTTGCTGCAGTCTGACTTGAATTTACGTAATGAGTTAGACTGTCTCAACTCAACCGGAAGGGAGTTCCACAGCACAGAACCACTATAGCTAAAACTATTTTTCAGGTAATTTGTGCGTGGTTGAGCTAAAGCTAATTTTCTACTGGTGTCTCTCAATGTATAATTTGTTACGCTACTTCGATCAACAAACATTTCAGACAGGTAGTCTGGCACAAAACCATTAAGCGATTTATAGACCATTATAGCTTTGGCAATTTTTCGCTGAGATTCAAGGTTTTTCCAGCTCAATTTTTCAATTAGATATTCAGCATTTGTATCATAATTAGATGAAGTAATTAGTACTCTAGCGGCTCGATTTTGGAGTTTTTGCAGTTTATTCGCAAGAGTACTGCCGGAACTATCCCAGACAACGCAACAGTAATCGAAATAGGGTTGAACTAAGCAATTGTAAATAAGTTGCATTGTGGAAGGTGGGACGAATGGCCTTATACGCTTTAATGCACCTATGCCAGAAGCGACTTTTTTCATAATTTCTTGATATGAACATTCCAAGTCAAGTTCTCGTCTAAACGTACGCCAAGTGACTTTGTGTGAGAGACTTGTTTAATTGGTACGTCATTTATTTTCAGTGAAGGACTAGAGTTGAAAGTACTAATCTTTTGACGGGAGCCGATT